GGAGCACGGGCTCTAGGCGCGCAGGCTTCAGTAGTTGTGGCTCATGGGTTCTAAAGCACAGGCTCAGTAGTTCCTCGGCATGTGGGATCTTCCCGGACCAGGGCTCGAACCCTTGTCCCCTGCATTGGCAGGCAGATTCTTAACCACTGTGTCACCAGGGAAGTCCCTGCTTTTGCATTTAAATATGGGAGTGATGCAAAATGAGTCTCACCATCAAATGTTCCTTTTTCTCAAATATTGGCAAGAGCTCTAGTGCTGGGAACCATCGATTCACAGATGTTCACTGTCTTCCTGTCCTTACTGCCCCTGAGGGGAACTTGAACTTTTATTTCCTAACTCAACCCACGTGGGGAGACTGACCTCTAGAGGAACCTTTGCTTGTATAGCCATTGCCAAATATCCTCGTGACCGCGATTTGACGGTAGGATGGTCACTACCCACTGACTCACAATCTTTTCTTTTTTTAAAACTGGGAAAACTGTATAAACCACATTAAAGAGGAAAGAAAAAACCCTTGATCCTCCCTGACTCAATCTTATTGGCCAATTTCCTGCACATTCCACTGGGGTTGTCTGCATAGCTCTCCCTGTTTTTTGAGTACAACTGAAACCCGCACCTTCACCCCCCATCTGTAGGTTATGTCAGAAGTCCAGAGAGGCCAGATTTAAAATATTTCTTCATTTAAGTAGGTGTTCCTAGAAATAGCTGCATGTACTTGGATAACCCGATAGTTAAATGCCCTGCCTTTGAAATGGCTCAATTCCGTAGCACATACGGACATTTGAGCTTCTGTTGCACTCAGCGTGTAAGCCCTCACCTTGCAGGTGTAACTGAGGTTGCTAACACCCAGGGTTTATGGGTAGCACTTTCGTTCAAGATGAACAGTAACTCGTATGCACATCAAAAATGATGAGTCCTGGGCTCCCCTGGTGGCGCATTGGTTGAGAATCTGCCTGCCAATGCAGGGGACATGGGTTCGAGCCCTGGTCTGGGAAGATCCCACATGCCGCGGAGCAACTAGGCCCGTGAGCCACAACTACTGAGCCTGCGCGTCTGGAGCCTGTGCTCCGCAACAAGAGAGGCCGCGATAGTGAGAGACCCACGCACCCTGATGAAGAGTGGCCCCCACTTGCCGCAACTAGAGAAAGCCCTCACACAGAAACGAAGACCCAGCACAGCCAAAAGTAAATATATTAATTAATTAAAAAATTTTAAAAAATATTACTTCTAATTGTGATAAAATGCACATAATGTTTACCATCTTAACCATTAAAAAAAAAAAATGATGAGGCCTTATGGGCATACTGTGATCATCATGGAGCAACAAAACACAGACCTTGTTGCTCGGTCTTCCCTACCCTCATTTCACTCAGCTCCTCTCCTGAAATTACAGAGTACGCCTTACAGTTAAGTGACAATGTGACCTGTCACCCAGTGTTTCACCTATACCTTAAATTGTACAGTTCTGGCATAGAATTCATTTACTGCTTTATCGTCAAACTTTTGCTACTTTGCTAATTAGAGTAATAATAAATGTCTTGTCCTCGGGTTCCTTTGCCAAGATGATGGCCTTATTTGGGATGTGATTAGCTTCTTTAACTTTGATTTGGCTGTTTTACCAGCATGCCTCTCAAAGTCCTGAAGATCATATACCACCAAAACGGTAGCGTAACCAAAGAATTACTTAGGCAAAAGTTTGTTATAAAACGATACTCCAGAGCAGTGATTCTCAAAGTTGGAACTGGGGAGTTGACCTGTTGTCTTGAAGAGATAGGGTCTCCATATATCCAGAGCTAAACTTCATCTCTTTTTTCAAACCTACCCCCAATCCCTAGTTTCCTATTTTGGATAAATCGGAACTGCTGTTGTCTCAGGCCTCTGACTCTCCCTTCCTGTTTTCCTGCATCCAGTTACCTACCAGTCCCATTCATTCGTGCTTAGCGCCTCCAGTCTGCCCTAGTCCAGGCCCACGTCAGCTGGTCTCTGTGCATCCTGTTCCGTACACTGCTCACCCTCCTTGTAGATTTTAAAGCATTACCCGTATATTCACCACTCCCCTGCTGGGGACCTTAATGCCTCCAGGCTGGCACACCAGAGTCCCCGGAAGGGCCAGCTGAAACGCGGCTGCTGGATCACACCCCCAGAGTTTCCGACTTGGTAGATCTGGCAGAGGGCTCACTAAATGCTTTCCCTACAAGGGCCAGGTGTTACCTTGACCATCCTCTGAGGACCTCAGCTCTGGGGTGAGCCTGTGCTCTGTAGATTCTAGGCTTCTCCTCTCTATTCGTTCCAGCTCCCTCCACGCTCCTCTGCTCAGCCAGTACTCCTGGAGTCCCTCTGGTCGTGTAGGGATAAGGTTTAGCCGCCTTCAGAACAAACCCTGTATCTTATTTGCCTGGTTCCCACCAGCTCTGTTGGCAGCTGTGGGCACCGCTCAGCAGAACGCACTGGGAAGGCAGTATTGCTTTTGCAGAGAGACAACTGAGTAGTGCCACGGATGAGCGACTGTCCTGAGGAGAGGTGTAGGTGGCACCACACTAGGCTGAGGTCATGAGGGCCTCTCCGCGGGCCGCCAGGCTGCCTGGGCCTTCAGGCCATGTGGTGACACGCAGAGCAGGTCGCAGGTCGGCGGGTGGCCAGGAGACAGCTATTTAATGGCGGCTGGCTCCCCTTTAGCAGGCGCACCTTTTACTTTTCTCAGCATTTTTTCTCCTTCCCATTTTCTGTCTTTCAGTCTCCTGTCTCTCTCTTTCTATCTTAGCCTCGATGCCCTGGGTCTTTGGGGTAGCTTCCTGGGTTGAAGAGGCTTCTGATGTTTACTGTAAAGCCACGAATTGCTTCTGAATTTTAATCTGAATATTTGTTGATGAAATGATATAGGCTAAGAAGGACTGGCCTTGTAGTTAGGACACGTTATCAGGTGTCTGAGTAACATTCTACACATTAGTGTTTTACAGGAAAGTTCTTGTTTAACTAAAACTAACCCTGGACATGGGCACGTGATATCCCCATTTTACAGAAAAGAAAACAGACTCCGAGATTAAGAAATAATAATGCAGGATTCTCAAGGGAAGAGATTCTTCCATCTTTATGTGCACGAAGAATAACTTCTTTGCTTTTATAAAGTAGCATGTTGTAGTTAATAATTGTATTTTGGAATCATGGCTACAGGTCTTAGAAAGTTTCTGCCAAGGTAAGACTGTGTGACGATGAGAAAATATGATTGGGTGAAGTTTACCCCAGAAGACTATTAGCAGTTGTAGAGCAAGAGTTAAACACACATATGTAGCACATAGTAGATATTAAAAGAACGTATATAAACATATAAGCAAAAAAAAATGTCTGGAAGGAGCTCACCAAACTGATAACAGGGGCTAGTCATTTTTTTCCTCGACATACTTCTATACTATTAAACATTTTAATAAGTATATAAATGATAACTTTTTTTTTTTTTTTTTTTTGCGGTATGCGGTCCTCTCACTGTTGTGGCCTCTCCCGCTGCGGAGCACAGGCTCCGGACGCGCAGGCTCAGCAGCCATGGCTCACGGGCCCAGCCGCTCCGCGGCATGTGGGATCCTCCCGGACCAGGGCACGAACCCGTGTCCCCTGCATCGGCAGGCGGACTCTCAACCACCGCACCACCAGGGAAGCCCTAAATGCTAACTTTTTAAAAAATATTTATTTATTTATTTGGCTGTGTTGGGTCTTAGTTGCAGCACGCGGGCTTCTCTCTAGTTGCGGAGTGCAGGCTCCCAAGCTCACGGGCTTAGTTGCCCCACAGTGTGTAGGATCTTAGTTCCCCGAGCAGGGATCGAACCCATGTCCCCTGCACTGGAAGGCAGATTCTTAACCACTGGACCACCAGGGAAGTCCCCTATAAATGATAACTTAATAGGGGAAGGAAAGAGCTAATGGGAGGAGGAGTGAAGAATCCTATTTTTTAAAAAACAACAACAACAAGGAAAAGAATCCACCAGCACCTGTCTGGCTGTCTCTTTGCCTTATAAAGGGTCTCCACATTGGTCTGTCCCCTGGAGTGCATCCTGTTTCCCCATCAGCTCTGCCTCTTCAGACTGTTTCCTCTTTGAGACCTCACCTTTTGCCCCTTCCTGAAGCCTTTCCTAGTTTCTTCCTTCAAACCTCATGCTAGAAACAATGTCTCCCACTTTTGAACCGTGCTTTCTTGTGGTACCAGAAGTCCTTGTATCATAATCTAATCTCCCCCAAGAAATTTTAAACAAAAATACCTCTGTACCCCTTGCAGTATCTCTGGGGCCCCAGCATGCTGAGCTGCTCACTGGTTGAGAACTCCTGCCTCTTGAGATGACTTGCCAGTTAGGGGTTCTTGTCCATAACGGGTGTACTTTCTGAGCCAACAGATGGCAACTTAGAGGAGGGGGCACAACGGTAGCAACTCTGCCTCCTTACAAGTGCTGCAGGTCAGTGTGTCCATGCACATCCTACATTTTATAGCTGATGATGGTAACTAGTAGATGCTACCTGAGAAACTGAAGTTGGCAAAGAGAAAAAGCAGTACACATGATCTCCAAAAGACTATAGATAACATGATGGAAGTAAAACTGAACAGTGTGTTCTTTCCTCAAGACCTGACAAAAATTGGTCTTCTGTGCTGCTGGCCACAGTTTGAGAATCAGCACAGTGCATTTAGGGGGTTGGTGTCCAGTCCTCAGACTCCTCAGCCTTGTCTGGCAGGACCAATGCTTAGAGGTCTGTGAGCCTCTTTTCTTTTTCCCTCAGTTGCTTCCTTTTCCCAGGGGTCCTGGATGGACATGGTCCCAGCCTTGCTTCTCTGAAGCCTGCACTTGTCTCCAGGTGGATGATTTATATCAGACGCCAGCACGTCCCGCCCTGGAGTTCATCCAGCAAATGCTCACCGAGCAGCTGCTCCCAGGCCCTGGAGAGGATTGAAGGTGCACACGGTAGACTTATTTTTGATGCTTCCTGCTGACGTGCTTTCTGTCTGTCTGTCTTTTCCCCAGGGCAGCGATGGTGCCCGGAGATCCGTGCTCCTGGACAGTGACGAGCCCTTGGTGTATTTCTATGATGACGTCAGAACACTATATGAAGGTTTCCAGAGGGGCGTACAGATCTCAAGTGAGCATTTGACTGAATCCGTGTGACTAATGCTTCATGTTTCTCCTTCAGAAAGAGGGGTCTTTCGTCAGAAAGCCATATTTGCTCCCAACTTTCTCCCACTCAGTCTGGCTCCCAGCTCCCTGTCTCCTCCCATAACTTCCGCAGAGTGAGTCTCACTGCACACAGGTCCCGCTGGGTGTGCCCCGCGGCCAAGGGCCTTCCGTGGTCACACGTCTTTTAGCTCAGAATAGGCTCTGGCGTTTCTTGCAGTAAAGAGACCTGTTTAATTGCGCCTGATCCAACATTTCTCAAACTTGCTTGACCAGGAGACCCGTATTTTGAGAAATAAACACTGACATCCAAGGAAGCGGGGTTCCATCAGAGACACTTGTGGGGTGTCGGCTCATGGGACTGCCCTTCATCCCTGAGGACGGCACGAAAGACCCCGGGTACCCGGAAGCTGCCCGGCCTTGCAGCCCCTCTCCCTCCTGCCCCATGTAAGAAACAAAATAGAAATAAAGAAACAAACAAAGACTCAGACCAAAACCCAGGGAGAAAACATTTCCAATCTGAATTCATTGTTTCACATCTGAGGACCACAGTAGAATCTACCTGATACTTTGTGGAATGAAAGATACAAACGAGAATCCAGGAATATTTATGCATGTTAAAACGAGAATCTAGGAATATTTATGCATGTTAAGTCCATCCTTTTTTTTTTAAATTTTTTTCTCCTTTCAGATAATGGCCCATGTTTAGGTTCTAGGAAACCAGACCAACCCTATGAATGGCTTTCATACAAACAGGTGAGTTTTCTGGCTGTGTGGCCCCCCCCCTCCGCGAGCCACAGTGCTAGAACATGGCAGTTCTTGGAGCCGTTGAACGTCGGGCAGGAAGGAGTAATGAGCTGTAGGTCCGGTGGGCAGAGGGATTTCTCAGTGTTTATTCTGCCCTACCAGAGCCAAATAGTAGTTTTCAGATCCCTCGTTTTCACAAGTGGTGTAAAAACAGTTCATGTGTGTTGGAAATTTCACATTGCACGATGGTCTTCAGGCCTCACAGAATCTTCACGTGCTTCTGGGTTACATCTTCTTCTTGTCATGTTACTGTTTTGTTCAGGTCTCAGCCTGTCAATAACCAGTATTGTGGCTGGACCAGCCCTCGTGGTTCATATTATGATTGCAAGACGCCTTTCAGCAATAACCATAAGGAAACTTGGAAAAAATAAAGCTTTCTTACTACAGGACATGGAAATGACGCAACACACCTGGGCCACACAAGCGAGGCCTCGGGTAGGGGGAGAGAGAGCGTAGAGCACCTGGGGTTCTGCTTTATTGGGGTCAAAGATGGGGGCCTAGGGTTTCGAGGGCTCACTCTTATTAATGAATTTGAAACAGAAGAGCAGGAACTTAAAGCACAGGAAGAGAGAAAACAAGTGGCTCAGACTGTCAGTTATCAACATCAACCGAGATCTGTAAAACAAAGGAGCCTCATGCAGGGAGGGGACCTGGCTCCTTATCTAGCCTATGGCTGGTGATGCGTCAGCCTTGGCTTGGAAGTGTATGGTCAGCAATCAAAGCTTAAGGCAGGCACTTGCATTACAAAACAAGAGAAAGCCCAGCCTTGGGGTTTACACTACAGTTACCTATAGTGATCTGTTCCTCTATTGCTTCTGTTATATATTGGCTGGAGGAGAGAAAACAGGTCCATTGCAGGTGGGATGTTTGAAGGCAGATTGGAAATCACTGGGGTTTCAGAAGTACATTTGTACATTTCAGACAGAGGCTGGTGAAGATTAAAAAAATAGACTTAAGCTAACTTTGAATTTGTATATTTTTACTTTTTTTTTTTTTTTTTTGTGGTACTTGGGCCTCTCACTGTTGTGGCCTCTCCCATTGCGGAGCACAGGCTCTGGACGCGCAGGCTCAGCGGCCATGGCTCACGGGCTCAGCCGCTCCGCGGCATGTGGGATCTTCCCAGACCGGGGCATGAACCCGTGTCCCCTGCATCGGCAGGCGGACTCTCAACCACTGCACCACCAGGGAAGCCCTGAATTTGTATATTTAAATCACTTTTTCCCCCTAGCCCAGTGATTCTTAGCTTTTGGGGCTAGGAACCCCTGTAAGGTTTTTCGAAGAAAGGTCTGGACCCTCGTTCTAGAGATACAAGTACATGCATAGAATCCCAATAAGCTCTGAAAACCATCTAGGTACTCGCGGGTTCCCAGCCCTGACACACAAGCAGGAGTTGTGAAACAGTGCATGGGGTATGGAAGTAATAAGCATGTTAATGTCATTCTTGCTGTCGCCTGGCCAGTGTTGCTTTCACCGCCATTGCTGCGTACGGGGGGGCACTGTGTGCCAGAACCCACAGGCTTCTGGGGCAGGAATAGGTGTGGTTCTGTTTTCTGCGGGCGTGGGTGTGGATTTAAAGTGCTCTTGAGAATTTACCAACTGAGAATAAAGAAAAGAATTCCAAATTAAGATTCAAAAAAAATTTTTTTAGTTCATTTGGGGTAAGAATGAGCAGAGGATGAGGGATGGGGGCAGGGATATAGCCCTGCCTAATTTTTATGAATCTACCTATTTTTACATAGTTTAATTAATAGTATGCATTTTTGTATTCATTTATCTCACTTAAAATTGTTACAAATACTCTGTTTGATATGGTTTTCATAACTGTAGTATTTACTAGCTGTAGAACATTTTCTTAGAGATTTACCATCATTTACTTAACCATCCAGCCATTGGTCTTTTTTCCCCTAGACTTTTATGACTTTAGATAATTTTGAAATACATATCTTTGTACCTAAAGTTTTTTCAAACCTCTGGTTAGGATTGGGTTATTTCCAAAGAATAAATTCTCAAGAATAGAATTGTGGAGCCTAATGATAAGAGCTTGTTCTTATTTTTTTTTTAAAGATCTCCCCCAAACTTGTTGTTTGTGTGTTTATATCAAAGGACAAGTTTTGGCTGCTTGGTTGCTCTTTATAAACACAGACACAAAGTTCTGTGTCCCTGGATTGCTTTTATAATTTTATAAAACTGAAGTATAAAAGTATAGAAACTAAACTAAAGTACAGAAACTCTGACATGTATCATCTGTGACCTGCAGCTGTTGGGGTGAAGTTCATTTGCTTTGCAGAAGGAACTGTATGATCAGTTTTCTTACAGTGAGTTCTGGTGATTCAAACCTTGAACTTTACAAAACTGTGTAACTAAAGGAATACCTGTTTGCCCCTGTTCTTCCCCGCAGGCAGTGCTGCTTCTTGGCTAAGGTATTAGGCTTGGCCATCACAGGAAACTGTGTTCCTTGCGTTGGGCCTGATGCTCTTCCTCATTTTTTCTCCCCCGTTTTAGGTTGCAGAGATGTCAGAGTGTGTGGGCTCGGCGCTGCTCCACAAGGGCTTCAAGGCGGCCCCAGATCAGTTCATCGGCATCTTTTCTCAGAACAGACCTGAGGTATTAACCATTAGGCACTCACCGTACATGGTTTGGAGAGGTCTCAGATGGAAGAACCAGTTAGGGTTCACACCTATCTCTGCTTCGGACCAGATTCTTTGGTCTGATTACCTCTGAGAACATGACTTTGTGTTATGCCTTAGAGAGTTACATGTATGAAAACCCAAACCAGGCCCTTCTTAGCCTTTAGGTAGGAAAAAAAAAAATCACTTTTAAAGAAAATTATGGTTTTTGTTTTTTTAAAATCAGGTCCCCAAACAAAAACTAGTGAAGAAAGTCTTAGAACAAATAACTAACAAAGAAGTCTTCCCACGTTAAGGGCTTCCTCTGTGATTAGAAAAATGGCATTAATAAATGACAGAGAAACTTGGATACATTTTTGTCAGTAGCAAACTCTCATCTTTTCTCTCTAAAAGGTCTGGGCTCTCTCTGCCCAGGTTATAAAGTTTAAAATCCCAGGGGCCATGGGGAAGGGGCCTCACTGGGAGCTGGCCTTATTTTGGGCAAGCAGACTGTTGTTTAGCCATCCAGGCCCATGCCTGGTGCTTCTGTAAACCACTGTATTAAATTACATTTAAATGAGAAGCCCCCTGGAGCTATTGCCTGTAGTGTGAGTAAACAAATAGTGGCATAGCTGGTGCAGAAAAATTCAAGCACTGGGCTTGAAGAAATTGAATTGATTCTTAGACCTACTTGGGTCCAAAAGACACGTTGGTTCAATCCCTGTGCTACTATTTTATAAATCAGAGTGGTTTCTCAGCGGGTTGTTTTTAATAAATTTATTTATTTATTATTTTTGGCTGCCTTGGGTCTTCGTTGCTGGGCACAGGCTTTCTCTAGTTGCGGCGAGCTGCGGCTACTCTTCGTGCGGTGCACGAGCTTCTCATTGCCGTGGCTTCTCTTGTTGGGGAGCACAGGCTCTAGGCGTGTGGGCTTCAGTAGTTGCAGCACGTGGGCTCAGTAGTTGTGGCACGCAGGCTCTAGAGCGCAGGCCCAGTAGTTGTGGTGCGCAAGCTTAGTTGCCCCGTGGCATGTGGGATCTTCCTGGACCAGGGCTTGAACCCGTGTCACCTGCGTTGGCAGGTGGATTCTTAACCACTGCGCTACCAGCAAAGTCCAAGGTGGAGTCTTGATGCCTACGAGGGTGGGGAGGCCAAGGGAATGTCAGGAACAATGGCACGCTTTCGTGGAGCAGCATGTCTGTGATGGGGGATGAAGCATTTCACTGTGGTGGAGGGTGGAGTGGCAGGATGAGAGAGAGAGACAGCTCCAGGCCAAGTGAATGTGAGTGGGTTGTGCTTGCTCCCCATGGCCGCTGTGCCCTTATCCGTGCCGTGTGTTCTGCGGACGATGGGCACCACTGAGGATTATAAGCGAAAGAGGGACGCTGCTGCATCTGCCTTGTAGGCGGGTCAGTTGCTGTGTGGCTGATGTGTTTAGAGGAAGATGACCAGTGACTGTGTCACTTCTTTCCTTCCTCACTTTCCTAGGGAACCTTCCAGGACAGTTTTCCCGGTAGACAGTGTGTCCCTCTTCCCCTAGTCCCAGGCCCTACGGCACACTGTGGCCAGATTGCTGTCCCTTAGAGCCCCAGTTGCTGTTTGGCTGAGAAACCCCAGAGGCTGCACCTTGCCAGGGACATAGAGCCAGGCTCCCCCGTGGCCTCAGGCCGGCTCCAGCCCTCGCTCCAGCCTAGCCAGTCCTCACAGCCCTGCTGGGCCGTCCCTGCCAGCCTGGTGGCTCACTGATGCCCCCTCTCGCTGCCTTTTTTTTTTTAATATTTATTTGGCTGCGTTGGGTCTTAGTTGCGGCACGTGGGATCTTCCTTGCGGCATGCAGGATCTTTCATTGCAGCACACGGGCTTCTCTCTAGTTGTGGCACACGGGCTCAGTAGTTGTGGCACGTGGGCTTAGTTGCTCCGCGGCATGTGGGATCTTAGTTCCCTGACCAGAGATCGAACCTGCGACGGCTGCATTGGAAGGCAGATTCTTACCCACTGGACTACCCTCCCTGCTTTTTTTTTTAACATCTTTATTGGAGTATAATTGCTTTAAAATGGTGTGTTAGTTTCTGCTTTATAACAAAGTGAATCAGTTATACATATACATATGTTCCCATATCTCTTCCCTCTTGGGTCTCCCTTTACCCTCCCCGCTTTGATCTCACAGTCCCGGCTCCCAGAGTTCCCTTACCTTTCTTTCCACCTGTCCAAATCGTGCTGCTCTTGAAAAGGGCAAGCTCGGTTACCTCCCCAACCAAGGAGGCCTACTGCAGGCTGTCTTGCCTCTGAGCCCGTCACTCTCATGCTGTTCATTCTCTTTTCACATATTTGCCTCAAATTTTCAGGCAAATTGTACTTTTCTTTTAAGAAGTGAGCAAGTGTTTTGCTCTCATTAGGAATCCCTTTGGTGCCTGGCACATAGTAGTAGATACACAGATGTCAGTTTTGCTACATCTGGTGTTTCCATGTTGAATCTCTATAGAGTATTGTTTTCCCTGGAGTGGTTCCACAGTATCTTATTTTCTCACCCTGATCTTTACGTTTTCTTTAGTGGGTGATCATTGAACAGGGATGCTTTGCTTATTCGATGGTGATCGTTCCCCTCTACGACACCCTCGGAACAGAAGCAATTACCTACATCATCAACAAAGGTATGTTTGCGGCCTTTAGGGGCACTTGGCATAGTTATTGGTTAGACACAGAGACTACATTTGCTGATACATGGTATGATAGGGATTTTTCCATTTAAATGTACATCTACCCTCCTATTCAAAAATGTAGTACTTAACCTGGTGTCAGATGTTACAGTCAAGCTTTTAGTATCCCAGAGCTGGTTCCTCACTGTGTCTCTTCACTTCCAGCTGAACTCTCTCTGGTTTTTGTGGACAAGCCAGGGAAGGCCATCCTCTTATTAGAAGGTGTAGAAAATAAATTAACACCATCCCTTAAAACTATCGTTCTCATGGACTCCTATGGCAGTAATCTGTCTGACCGAGGCAAGAAGTGCGGGGTGGAGCTCATCAGCTTGAAGGCGATGGAGGTGAGTCACCCTGCCCTGCCCACCTCACTGCAGGGTTTCCCTGAGGTCATTTTGGCTCAAATGTGGTGTCCAGTGCGGCCACAAAGTCCCAACTCTGGCTGGTCCTGTAAAAGATGGAGAGCAGAGATCTCTGTCTCATTACTGGAAAGAAGAATTCTACCCGCATGCCCAGTGGTAATCCATCACACTTTACAGGAAGTGTTCTCATCAGGCGAGCTGCAGTGCTCACATACTCACTCTAGAGCACTGACAAGCCATGCCAATAAATGCTGGAAATGGGAATTTCAGATTCAGCCAGAGATTTAAGTTTGTATGTCCTCTTTAGGCTTTAACACCTTTTACTCACTGATTTATCTCTTAAACGGAGCCAGACATAGAAATCTGCCTCGTTATTCCTTTCCCCAGGTTGCTTTTATAGGGTCCTGGTGAATTTCTAGCATAAGAGGCTTGATTTGATTTATTCTTGTATTATATTTAAGATTCACCTTAATCACAACTTTAAAGGTAACCATTCTAGGAAAATGAGTGTGGTCCATACTTTAATTGATTGTTTGACATCGGATCCTACAAGAAGCTAGTCTCCCCAGTTTTTGGATTAAACTTCAATCCAGAACTGGGCAAGAGGAGGCCCTTGTTATTATGTGCACATCACGGGAAGTAATAGATTCAGTAGAATAAGTCATTCTCTTTCTGAAAATGTTATAAATATTTTCCTGGAACTGTTATAAAAATAGGGTTTTGAATTTTATTTACAGTTCTCCTTCTATCAAGAATTTGAGCTACGAGGAAGGATCTATAAAACCTTTCCTGGGGAACTTAGTTGTCACAGAGAATCTGTCATTTGTTCTGTCAGAGCTTCTGCCTCTCTCACTCACACACACACACACACACACACACACACACACACACACGATAGCATACAACAGGAGTCCATAAGAGCTAATGGATATGCTGAATTGTTAAATTGGGTTTTTAACTAGATTTTCACCTAGCATTTCCCTATTTTTGTATTTTTTTACTTGTAACCCCATTTCATAATTATATCTTTTCCCCCATTTTTCCTCTTCCTGCTGCCCCCACCACACACAGACACATACACAAGCATTTTTTTGTCTTTTTTGACTGCTCTGTATGATAAAGAAGTAATCTTAAGATTAAAATTTAGATAAGTAAATGACCAAAGATTATAATGTAAAGTTTATATTAAAATATTTATAAAAGACATTGTTTTACACTTACCTGTATAATATGATTCATATTGGGTTTTTAAAATTTTTATAAGCAAAATATTAAATTTTTAAGCAATGAATTTAAAACTAACTTTTTGGTTGATCATGTGATCTAATTTTTATTAATGTCTATTTTTATAGCATCAAAAATAGAAACATTGGTATTTTTGCATTTTTTCCAATATTTTGTTATGAAAATTTTCAAATATGCAAATAAGTTGAAAGAATTGAGCAGTAGACCACTATATCCCACCAAGAGTCTACAATTAACATTTTAATATATCTGCTTTATCACAGATTAATCATTCTATCTCTTTATTCACTTCACTGATTTGTCTTTTTTATTCATTTTCAGTAGGGTACAAATTTTATCACTCCCAAATACTTCATTAAGTAGAATTCAGTTTTCCTTCTGTTTATGGTTTTTTTTTATTTTGGCATTTGGAACCTAAAGATGACAACTTTAATTTTTATAATAGCTGTATTTTTTCCTAAATAATGACATAAGTCAGGCTTCAGGCTATGAAACTTTCTTGGCAAATAATGGAGTAATTTGGATAATTTTTTTCTAATAAATTAAAAGTCTAATTGCATATAACTTGCTTTATTTTACTTAACATCAATTTTTGAAGAATTAGAGATCTTAAGAAGTTAATGTAAGAATTTTAAAAAGATGAGTGGAAATTTGGATCTGATAAAGATTATTTTAGAAAAAAGATTGGTGGAATTATCGTTACTTTAACTCTTAGTTGACTTCTATTTGGATGTCAATGTTCCTATTTTTAATTAGTGGTCTGTTATATATATAATTTAAAGTGTGATTAGGATTAAAAACTGTTTAAAACTGTATGCTGGGTAGAAACTCACTGAGCCCTGAGCCCACCCATCTAATTTCCATTTATTTCTAGGCATGCTCATTCCACATGCTCACTCAAGCTGTTCGATTTTCATAGGAAAAGAATATTAATAGTTCATTAAAAAAAATTAATAGATATTAAAGTGGTCATGGAGACACCTTCATGAAGTAACACCATCAGAATTAGCCCTTGGTAGTAACTAGGAGTCCGCCTTTGGGAAATGCCGTGCCTCAGAAATGAATCTGTTGTTCTTAACCTTCATAGCCATTCGCAAGTGGTCTTAGAGCTTCTGTCGTGGCCTGTTTTATAATCGGAGATGCCCCAATCCTTGCTCTGATCCATGTGGGGAATACAGATAGTTGAGCCTCTCCAGAATGGCCACCAGTTAAGTCTGGCAGAGACTGATTTTCTCTCTCCAGATTGAAGATGTCAGTTCTGCAGAATGGGGTGATCACATATCTGTGCTGAGCTCTGGTTTTGGAAGGTTACAGAGCAGCTGTGGTTCTCTGATTACGGTGCAGAGCTGGGCTTTGTTAAAGGCTGTGATAGGGGAGTGGAAACCAGAAGAACGTGTAAAAGACTTGGATTCCTGTCTTCTGAATAAATCCTGTTTCAAAGGCCAGTCCTAATACCATCGATATAGTTTTATATAAGAGAGAAAACAACCAGAAAATGGCTTCTTAGAACGATGGGTAAGTATTTGGGTTCAGGTTAATGAAAATTGCTGTAGTTTATTTAATTTGAAATGTGTGCTGTCTTTGAGTCAGCTGGGAGCGAATCCCACAGAAAAGTCACCTTGAACTGACTTGATGTGACTTTTGTTCTTTACAGTTAGAAAATGTTTCCATTTAAGATTTTTTTTTTCTCTTCTCTTTAAGGACCTGGGAAGAGCCAACAGACGGAAACCCAAGGTGAGTGCACCATGTGCGACCCTGCCCCAGCCTCTGTGTAGCTTCCGTGTCTAATCAGCTCAGAGTCTAGTAGAAATCTTGAGTGATTATCTTATGACTTAGTTTTCTATTCTATTCTGATTTATACTGGCTTTTTTTTTTTTTTTAATATGCTGCAGCCTCCAGCACCTGAAGATGTTGCAATAATTTGCTTCACAAGTGGCACTACAGGTCAGTTTTGAAAAGGAATTGTTTCTCAGTGGTATCTGGAAGTGTATATTCCCTGCCTCTTCTTGTGGATGACTTATTCGAGCTATAGATGGACTAGAACTAGAAGAGACAGAAGTGTTCAAGCCTGTCTTACGGTAGCTCTATAAGACGTTCCCAGAATCTGAGCACGTCCTCAAACATTTATGAAAGGTCACAGTAGGTAGGATCACCCATCTTCCTGGGACAAAGTGTGTCCATGGTTTCCAGAAATAAAATTGCTGGATTTTCTTCTCTTACTGCTACACACACCCTCTAAAACTTGCCCATATTAGTAAAGATGGTTTAAGATAATAAGTTTCATTTTAAAGGATTGCAGATGGCTCAGGAATTTAATGTGACTAACTTTTGGCTTTCATGGGTGTACCTCACACTACAGGCATCAGAGGCTCTAATGATATGGGGTTTCTGGGCTTCTGTCATGTCCATCATTCTTGGATGGAGTTTCTGTCCTCTAACTTTGTTCTGTTCATATGTGTTCACAGGCAACCCCAAAGGAGCACTGATCACCCATCGAAATGTAGTGAGCGATTGTTCAGCATTTATTAAAATGACAGAGGTAAACTTTGGGGATATTGTCATCTTTCTTCATATCCATTGGTTGGCATCAGTCCTCAAGAATGAAGGTGGTAAAAGCCCTACTATCATGTTAGGCATGGGCTGTATTTGAAACACTGTCTGAAATACAGATAAGGTCTGAGCTTTCGTACATTCACCTTCTCCCAAATAGTTTTCACTGTGGACCTAATCCCCAACTCCTGCTGTGACCGTTAGGATGAATTGACAGATAGAATTTATTCCATCTTTTATATGGTAAAACTTTATTTGGATACTGCTCTATAAATGTTTCCAGGAAAGGACAGAGAAGAACTGACTCTCTTGTTTTTATCTCCTATTTTAGTATGGAAAAGAATTAATTTCTTTAAGTTGACAAAGAAATGTTAAATGCTGCTGAAGGTTTTTTGGATTATTATCGTTTTTATTATTTATTATGCTTGATTGGATTTGGCTTCCACTTTATAAGAAGGATTAAAGCCTCAAACTTTAGTTACTTCCTATAATCTTAAAGTTTGCTTTGTAAGTATCTTAGTCTGCCTGGGCTGCCGCAACAAAATAATGCAGACTGGATGGCTTAAACAACAGACATGTATTTTCTCACAGTTTTGGAGGGTAGAAGTCCATGATTGAGGTGCCAGCAGGTTTGGTTCTGGTGAAGGCTCCCTTCTTGGCTTGTAGACCGCAGGCCCCTCACCACCCCTCCCCCGACCTCTCCTCTGTTTGCATACGGAGAACAAGAGAGAGGTTTCTGGTGTTTCTTCCTGTTCTTACAAGGACACCAGCCTTATTGGATCAGGGCCCCACCCTCATGACCTCATTTAACCTTAATGACCTTCCCTGTCTCCAAATACAGTCACTTTGGGGGCTAGGGCTTTAACATATAACTTTGAGGGGGATGGTCACAATTCAGTCTGTAACACCAAAGGTCTATTTCAAACTTGCCGTTTAAAAAAGTACTTATTGAATAATATAATGAATGCCTTTCCCTCATATCCTTTGCACACTTTTACATAATTTGCTTTTGCAAATTACATGTCTCTGGGAGGGCTCCATACGGTCTGCTTTTTGTGGTAGGAGCCTGTGCTTAATGGTTTCGGGGAATGGGCACCTTTGGCGACTGCAGAAGCTCAATCTCACTTTCACTTATACTTACACTTTCTTAATCCTTTCCGTATATACTTTCTAAACAGAGTTCAACATTTAGTACCTTACCAAGTGAAATTTTAATTTCCTTATTGACCTTCAAAGAAAACTTAAAATTCATGAATCATTGAAGTAAATGTTTACAGTTAATGTTAATATTAAGATTAATAATTTGTAATTTATAATAATAAAATGGAAAATTCCTGGAAATGCTAATGCTTTTCTGCCTGTCTGGTGTCTTTGCTTTCCAGGGTGCATTCGTTGCTTCCTCAGATGATACTTTGATCTCTTTCTTGCCTCTCGCCCACATGTTTGAGAAAGTTGTAGAGGTAGGCACTGAGTTTTATTTTGTTTGTGCATATGTGTTTGGTTGTGTTCTGCTAAGTTGTTGTGTTTTACAGAAAGCACTTGTCTTGAATGCTAGTGACGCAGACATTTCATTTTTACCATTGCACACATGCATGAGTGGTTCACGCAGATAAGTTTGAGTGTGCAGACTGTCCTCTACGTAGAGAGTTCTTTGCTCAGGCCCATTTTAGAAATTGAGCTAATTATTTAAGAGTATAATTTTTTTTCTGGGTCCAGATACTTGAACTTTAATACTCATTTTAAAATTGGAAGCTCAGACTTTTGAAGGACACGAATATGGACGTGAATTCAGAAAGATGAGCTGTGAATGTAGAATTTTTATGAATACCATCCCACAAAGGCTGGTGAGGCTTCAGTTCTGTAAGAAGTCTCTATTTTTTTTTTTTTTTTGGGCCACGCCATACGGCTTCTGGGATCTTAGTACCCCGACCAGCGATCGAACCCGTGCTCTCTGCAGTGGAAGGTACGGAGTCCTAACCACTGGACCGCCAGGGAAGTCTCTATTTTTGACTGCTTGTTCATAAGGCACAAGTTGATTCCAGATTAATTTTTTCAGCAATATTCCAAGTGCCTTTGGCAAAGCGGGATGACCTTTAGCTGACCTCTGCCTGAGCTCCTCATACACGAGTGTGTGACTAATTTAAAAACTGACCAAGAACCATCTTTTTTCCTTCTTGGACAGTTTTGGATTGTATGCTTATAGGAGAAGCAGTGAGCACTGCTCACTCATTTAATGAATGTTCACGGGGCACCAGCTGTGTTGCAGGTACTGGGCAGGTGTTAGAGAGAGCGGGGCAGCTGATAAAATCCCGGCCCTTTGACTAGCTGCTGCCCTGTAGGATTCACTTCCCCCAAAGGATCAAGGATCTTCCATCAGATACTTGTGTCTCCTGCACGCCTCAGGAGACCTTGTGAGTTTACAGAGTGATTGCAGAGGTGTTGACAGTGGAACTAGTTTTCAAAGTGTGCCCAGGAGGCAGGCCACACTGAACAGAAACCTCCGAGCTTTAATTTTTAAACAATGAACCTTTCTAGTTGTTTCTGCTTTCAAGCCTGAGACCGTTTGTACTTCCGTTGCATCATCTCTTGAATCTCTCTTTCTTTTTAAAATTTAAAACAGGCAGACTCTTTGTCAAGTGCCTGTGGCTTGCCAGTGCAGCTTGCATCAGACAGGAAAAAATTCAGGCACTAGGTTACAGCTGAATGCAAACTGCTGCGGTACAGATGGCCTAGTGCCTCAGCCGCAACGTATTCTGACTACTCGGAATTTTTTAGTTAGATTCAGATAGAAGAGATGAGACTTTAAAAAGCTAAGGCAAGTAGCTAAGTTTTTCTGATGAGAATAAGTTAGACCTAAAGTTTCTAGAAGGCTAAAAATACTTGGATTATCGCATACCATGTCATTCATTCAGCAGATATTTATTATTGAAGCTAAAATAGCAGAAGCTCTCTGATAATCACTGAAAACCACATTCCCTGGTTTCTTACTAGTCCTTTTATCTTCAGGATAATCGAGAGCGATGCCACATGCCCGTGTTGTACAAGGACGCAAGCACGTTGTTTTAAAAGCTCCCTACATTTAGGAACTTTATGATTTCTGGAAGCTGGTCTGAAATGCTAACACTGGAGCCTTGTGTGTCTGTGTGTGTTGTGTGATGCCTGCTGCAATGATGACATGTTGGATGTTTCCATTTACCTCTCTAGTTTTTGATGCTGAGTCACGGAGCTAAAATAGGATTTTTCCAAGGAGACATCAGGCTGCTTATGGATGATCTCAAGACCCTTCAACCCACCGTCTTCCCTGTGGTCCCCAGACTGCTGAACCGGATGTTTGACCGAGTAAGTGCCAAGCGAAGAGAAGGGGCAGAGGTCCAGACCTTGAGTCCAAGACCATGTGTGACCATGGCCGCTGCCCTTACTCTCTCGAGGGACTGCAGTTTACCCCTCTGCTAATAAAGCTGAGTGCTTTTACCTCCCAGAGCTGTGAGTGACGGTTATAAGAGAAAGTGCCCGTGGACACACCTTGTCAACTGGAAGGCACAATACAGGTGTGAGGTGGAGCTTGTTTTATTTTCATGATAAACTCTTTGAGCCTCTGTTTTCTCATCTTTACAGTGGACTGTTACGTCCTCCATCTCATAAAGATGCTAATTACATCATATGAAAAGGCTTTATAAATTGTAAAGCCCCACTGCATGAAAAGTATTACTTACTTAGCCACCCTGAGAGACGCGGCTAAACCCAGCCAGGGACCGAGAGGAGATGGTGAGCCTTTAGAGCACAGACCCCACAGCTGGGGCAGGACCCGTGTGGTGTGAGCAGTCTCCAGAATGAATTTGGACTGGGCAATTCTAATACTCTTTATTTTGAGACATGGCCTTCATCATCTATGAGAACCTTCTCATTTTTTTTTTTAATTTATTTATTTTTGGCTGCGTTGGATCTTCGTTGCTGCCCACGGGCTTTCTGTAGTTGCGATGAGCGGGGGCTACTCTTTGCTGTGGTGCGTGGGCTTCTCATTGCAGTGGCTTCTCTTGTTGTGGAGCGTGGGCTCTAGGCACGCGGGCTTCAGTAGCTGTGGCGTGCAGGCTCAGTAGTTGTGGCACATGGGTTCAGTAGTTGTGGCACGCGAGCTCTAGAGCGCAGACTCAGTAGTTGTGGCGCATGGGCTTAGTTGCTCTGCGGCATGTGGAATCTTCTGGACCAGGGATCGAACCTGTGTCCCCTGCATTGTCAGGCAGATTCTTAACCACTGCGCCACCAGGGAAGTGCCAACCTTCTCATTTTCTTAATAGTTCTTTTTTAAAAAACTGTAAAACAGCTTTATTGAGATATAATTCACATTACATGCAATTCACCCATTAAGTGTACAATTCAAAGGTTTTGAGTTCATTCACAGAGTTCTGCAACCATCATTACAGTCCATTTTAGAACATTTTTATCACCTCAAAAAGGATGTGGTATCATCCTCCACCCTGCTACCTCCCTCCACCACCCAAAAAACTCATCTACTTTCTGAATCTATAGATTCCCCTATTCTGGATTTTCATGCGAATGGAATCATGCAATATTCTTTTGTTGCTGGCTTCTTTTGCTTAGTATGCTTTCAAGGTCCATCCATGTCATAGCATGCATCCATACTTCATTCCTTTTAATGGCCAAATAATATTCCACTGCATGGATACAACACGTTTTATTTATCCATCCATCCATTGATGGGCATTTGGGTTGTTTCTGCTTTTTGGCTATTATGAATAATGCTGCTGTGAACATTCACGGGCAAGAGGCTGTGTGGACATGTGTTTTCATTCTCTCAGGTATGTGCCTAGGAGCGGAATTGCTAGTCGTACAGTAACTCTGTGTTTAACTGAGGAACCGCCGGTCTGTTTTCTAAAGCAGCTGCACCATTTTACATTCCCACCAGCAGTGTATGAGGGTTCCAATTTCTCTACATTTTTACCGACACTTGTTATTATCTGACTTCTTAGTATCTCGCCATCCTACTTATTGTGAAACCTTCTTGCTTCTTGACTTAGATTTTTGCTCAGGCAAACACCACGCTGAAGCGATGGCTGTTGGACTTTGCCTCCAGGAGGAAAGAAGCCGAGCTTCGCAGTGGCATCATTAGAAACAACAGCCTGTGGGATAAGTTGATCTTCCACAAAATACAGGTAGCACATTGACTCACAACGGTTATTTGTCATGTAAACGCCTTTGCGTTTCAAACTTTCTGTGAGGGCTCTTTTTTTTTTTTTTCAATTGAAGTATAGTTGATGTACAATATTATATAAGTTACAGGTGTACAATATAGTAATTCACAATTTCTAAAGATTATACTCCATTTATAGTTATTATAAAATATTGGCTATATTCTCCATGTTGTGCAATATATCCTTGTAGCTTATTTTATACCTAATAGTTTGTACCTCTTAATCCCCTACCCCTATATTGTGTGAGGACTGTTTTTAAAAGAGAAGGTGAGAGGGAGAATTTCTGGCACATTTCTAAAAACTAAGGACAAAGCCATTAGCAAAACCTCAGTGTCCAAGATAAATCTGAACAGTGTTTAGCTATCCAGGGCAGAACAGGAATCAGGTAGCATAGCCTTTCTGATTCTCCATTTTGTTTTACCGTTCTGGAACTCTTGAGGTATTTTTTTAGGCATGAGTGATAAAGAATACGGAATAATATTATGTCCCCCAGAAGGTGGTGGTTGCTATAAACCCATGACACTCTTGTTCTAATTCCTTAAAACACCTGCAGGTATAGAGGTGTTGCTTTATTTTCCACACCTGTCGAGAGTGAATGGAGTGGTTTCGGGTGGAACCAAACTCCAGTCAGGTGTCCCCCTTGGGGTGCCTGTGCGTCGTCGGGCGCAGTGAGTTCTGTGCAGCCTGCAGACAAGGAGCTGGTGGGTTAGAGTATCGGGGTTCCAAGAAGGAATCTTTGAGAAGCCCGCCACCTTCCAGTCACTTGCCCCTCACCCTCTCCCCTCTCCCTGCCTTGCAAGTCGAGCCTGGGAGGAAAAGTACGGCTGATGATCACAGGAGCAGCGCCCGTGTCCGCCACCGTGCTGACCTTCCTGAGAGCCGCGCTGGGCTGCCAGGTGAGGCGCCTCCCTCCGCACCCACCCCTGGTCTCGGACCGAGTCCTGCCCAGGAGTCTGCTTTCCAAAAGGCACTCTTCTTCTCCTCCATGTGCCGTATTGTTGTTTGGAAGATCATGTTATTCCTAGGTTGCTTGGAGAAAGGGGTATAGGCACACCTCGGAGATACAGCAGGTTCAGTTCCAGACCACTGCAGTAAAGCCAATGTTGCAACAAAGCCAATATCGCAGTAAAGCCAGTCACGTGAACTTTTTGGGTTCCTGGTGCAGATAAAAGTAATGTTTACACTAGTCTGTAGTCTGTTAAGTGTGCAATAGTATTATGTCTAAAAAGCAATGTGTATATCTTAATTTAAAAATACTTTATTGCTAACCGTCATCTGACAACGCAGCGTTGCCACAAACCTTCAATTTGTAAGAAATGCAGTATCTGCAAAGCGAATAAAATGAAGTGTGCCTGTATATATCTTTTACCCCAGGCAGAATATGCATTTGTATCTACCGCTGGGTGATTTTCTCTAGGGTGAGGCACAGAAGATGCCTTTAGATCAGGTGTGAGGGCATGGGGATTGGCAGTAAGTGATAAGGCGACCTGCAAAGCATGCAGAGACCCTTTCTTAAGGGGGAGGGGGAGCCAGCAGAGACTGGGTGATAAGTAGGCGAGCCGACGGAGCGAGTGAGTCCCTGGGCAGGTGGTGCACGGCGTGACCTGTGAATGGCATTGTCTCCTACGTGGGTGAATACGTTGGGTGCTGTAATAAAGCGTGTTGTAGTGTATGGGCTGAGGTTACCAAACGAGCTAGAGGAACTCAGTTACTGAGCACTTCCAGCAGAGGTGTGACTGTCCCCCTCTCTTCCTGTCCCACCTCTTGGTGACCCAGTTCTACGAAGGCTATGGACAGACCGAGTGCACTGCCGGGTGCTGCCTGACTGTGCCTGGGGACTGGACCGCAGGTATGATGGCAGGACTTTCCTTATTGGGATCTTACTTTTGGCATTGGAATGTGGAATTGGGTTAATAAACCAACTTAAACAAGTGCTGTGTCTCTGATGATTAGGCCTTGGGGTCAACAATCTTGGAAACCAGGGGGCCCTGTGGCAGAGTGGGATGTGACTTTGAGGCTCTGACTGTCAACCTGGGTGGGTGGCAACAGAGACTTACGTAGATCCTGAAGGTCACATCTAGAGATGGTGTTCTTTATACCAGGTTCAGAATGTTTGGCCCAACAGAGCTTTCCAGGAATTGATTGGGGCCTAATTATTTGCTGGTAAATTTTAATTAAATTTCCAGAGACTCCAGACAGAAATAAACACAAGTCCTTTGTCCCCAACGGAAAAAACAGGGGAGGACAAACTGTCCTGCCTGAGGTTCTGCCTCAGGAGTTTATGATGCATATTATATGTGCTTCATCCCAGCGCCCCTGTGAGAGAAGCCCTGTTACCTCTGCGAGGACATGACTGATTGTTGGCTAAAAAGCATGTCAGTAATGTATAAGAATTTACACAGCTTTATGTTTTGGAGCCAGGATTCCAACCCAGGTCTGACCACAAAACTCCTGTGCTTTCCCCTGTCCCACACCGGCAGTGTATTCTACGCTGTGATAAATAAATTCTGTGATTTGTTTGCTGTTTTACACGTATGAGCATCTAATGACATAGATCCTAGTATCAAGCACTTTCTAGTAGCATAATTCCGCTGCGATTGGCACTAACAGTCTGTGAACCTTTTTCATGGTGTTTGTTTAATATTTTTTTTTAATAAATTTATTTATTTATTTATTTTTGGCTGTGTTGGGTCTTCGTTGCTGCGTGTGGGCTTTCTCTAGTTGTGGCGAGCAGGGGCTACTCTTCGTTGCTGTGCGTGGGCTTCTCATTGCGGTGGCTTCTCTTGTTGTGGAGCACGGGCTCTAGGCACATGAGCTTCAGCAGTGGTGGCACATGGGCTCAGTAGTTGTGGCTCACATGCTCTAGAGTGCAGGCTCAGTAGTTGTGGCACACGGGCTTAGTTGCTCCATGGCATGTGGAATCTTCCCGGACCAGGGATCGAACCCGTGTCCTCTGCATTGGCAGGTGAATTCTTAACCACTGCGCCACCAGGGAAGTCTCTGTTTGTTTAATTTTTAACTCCTGGTGCCTTACCGGCTAGAGAATTTGAATAGTGATTTCTTTAAGCTAAAATTATCAAAACATAGGAAGAATGACTTGTGATGCTCTTAAAACTTAATCTAATATCTGTTACTTTTGTTTTGGGAAAAGAACCCAGTCCTAGCACTGTCTGGCAAGAGAGTTAAGTGAGTTGTGAAAAGAATCCCTGTCCTGTCTTCATAAACTTACATGTAAAACATGTTCGTTTATAATCAAGGGAATAAGGCCGTATTAGTCAGAACCATCTGACCCGTCAAGGTCTGTTCTTATAGAGAACGGGGACGTGACCTCTGTATGAGGGAGAGCAGGGCCCTCAGATCATGGGAACCAGGTGAAAGTTTCAGGAAACCTGCTTCCAGGTGTTCAAAGAAACCCTGAAAATGAGCAGCCAGGTCATTTATACTTTGAAAAATAATTTGGAGCGTCAGACTTGGGAAAGCTCCCTAGGAGACATTGGACTGTTTTTGTCTCTTTTCTAGGAATAACCTTTGTAATTTACCAGGGGGAGACAGGCTGTGATTGCCGAAACCAGAGGTTTATACCCTCTGTTCTCATCGTGAGTGGGCTTGTTTGTGATAAAAGTGATCTGTCCTAAGGATATCGGTAGTCACGGTAGGAGTGATCATCTTTTATTTGATATACAGGCCATGTTGGTGCCCCAATGCCTTGCAACATTATAAAGCTTGTCGATGTGGAAGAAATGAATTACATGGCTGCCAAGGGCGAGGGCGAGGTGAGTGAAATCCCGCAGTCACCCCCTCACTGCGGGCTCCTCCAGTAACCAGCCACCTCTCAGCACCACAGCACGTAAAGCCACTGAGCTTGGTGTTGCTGGTGACCCTGAGTCACACAGGCTTCTTTTTGACGGTACATTTATGCCTAACTCGCAGGGCGGGTAGGGAGGTGGGGGGCTCTAATGCCTGCCTTCTGCCGCCAGCCACGATGGGGCCGAGGGCCCAGGAGGGTACAGAGGCTCCAGGGCCTGAAGTCCTGGGCCGCGGCTTCCTGTCTGCTAATTGCCCTCCATGCCTGTTAGTGAGCTACTGGCTAGAGGAAGGAAGGCCAAATTGCTTTGGGATTTTCCAGAAGCTCTGATCCAGAGCCTAGGGTGAGCGTGAGCCCTGGAACTTGACTATAGCCAAGGCCATTATGGAAGGGAAGTGGGGGATTGGAGGTGCTGCCACGATGCCAGCGGGGCTCTGGTAGCTCTGGGAGACACAAACAAACACACACACACACACACACACACACACACACACACGAGTTTTCTCTGGAGAAGCCCCAGTCAGTGCTCTTAACAGATCATCTTTTTCCCCCTCCAGTTTTGTTGAGATATAATTGACATCTAGCACGGTGTGAGTTTAAGGTGTACAGCATCATGATTTGACTCGCATATATTGTGAAATGATCACCGCAGCAAGTTTAGTAAACATCCATCCTCTCATAAAGATACAAAAAAAAGAAGAAATGTGGTTTTTTCCCTTGTGATGAGAACTCTTTAAGATCTGCTCTCTTAACAACTTTAAAATCTTCCCTATGGCTGTGCTAACTGTAGTCGCCATGCTGTACATGACACCCCTGGTCCTTATTTATCGTATAACTGGATGTTTGTACCTTTCATCCACCTTCTTCCAACTCCCACGCCTCCCTCCCGATCTTTTCCCCTCAGGTGTGTGTGAAAGGGGCTAATGTATTTCAAGGCTACTTAAAGGACCCAACAAACACAGCAGAAGCTCTGGATAAAGACGGCTGGTTGCACACAGGGGACATTGGAAAGTGGTTACCAGTAAGTGGTCCCCTCCCCTGTTCACAGACACTTTTGTTCCACCGTAGGGAAGAAAAAACCCCACGTCGCAGTGGCACCCTAACTTTCCCTCCTCTTTCTCCTCACCGAGTGGTGGAGCGTAGACCCTTCCGTCTTCTGCAGGAAACAGGCTTATACTTAGCATCCTCGTGTAGCATTTTCACTTTAACGGCAGCAAATATGTTTTGTTTTGATGCTTGACATCCTTTCTGGTTGCTGCTTCCGGCTTGAAATCCAGAGACACTGTGTCTGGCTTTTCACGTTTCACTGCTGTGCCTTGATGTTGAGGCCTTAGTTAAGGTCTGGGGGCACTGCATAGGCTGCCAGGCATGTACGACAGGCGAAAATTTGTGAACACACATGTTTCTTAGCATTGTCATCTCAGTAAAAACAGGATAAGTACTTAGAGGATCAGGCCATCCCTTTGAACTTAGCCTCAGAACCGTTTACTATAGAGAAATACAGAGTCCGTCTTGGGAGTGAGTTGCTTGTGCAAAAAGCCGACCTGTAGGTTTCACCACTTTTGCTTGTTGTGGTGACACCACTGCTTTTTAAAGTTGTTACTGTGCTTAATTGCAAGCACTCAAATGGCTAGTGTAATTTTTATTATTGTGTATTGTTCTAGTCTTACAGGTGCTTTATTTATTTATTTACTTATTTATCACCTATGAGGAATGATTACATAGAAATTCCCCTTTATTTCTGCTGTTCTTGGACAGTTTGAAAAAAGGAGAAAAACATGATGACCATTGGATTAGGGAACATTAGTTTTAGAACTTCTTTTTTTTTAATTTTTTAATTTTATTTTTTTATAGAGCAGGTTCTTATTAGTCATCAATTTTATACACATCAGTGTATACATGTCAATCCCAATCTCCCAATGCATCACACCACCATCCCCCCACCATCACTTTCCCCCCTTGGTGTCCCTATGTTTGTTCTCTACATCTGTGTCTCAATTTCTGCCCTGCAAACCGGTTCATCTGTACCATTTTTCTAGGTTCCACATATATGCATTAATATACGATATTTGTTTTTATCTTTCTGACTTACTTCACTCTGTATGACAGTCTCTAGGTCCATCCACATCTCAACAAATGACCCAATTTCGTTCCTTTTTATGGCTGAGTAATATTCCATTGTATACATGTGCCACATCTTTATCCATTCATCTGTCGATGGGCATTTAGGTTGCTTCCATGACCTGGCTATTGTAAATAGTGCTGCAGTGAACATTGGGGTGCATGTGCCTTTTTGAATTATGGTTTTCTCAGGGTATATGCCCAGTAGTGGGATTGCTGGATCATATAGTAATTCTATTTTTAGTTTTTTAAGGAAGCTCCATACTGTTCTCCATAGTGGCTGTGTCAGTTTACATTCCCACCAACAGTGCAAGAGGCTTCCCTTTTCTCCACACCTCTCCAGCATTTGTTGTTTGTAGATTTTCTGATGATGCCCATTCTAACTGGTGTGAGGTGATACCTCATTTTAGTTTTGATTTGCATTTCTGTAATAATTAGTGATGTTGAGCAGCTTTTCATGTGCTTCTTGGCCATCTGTATGTCTTCTTTGGAGAAATGTCTATTTAGGTCTTCTGCCCATTTTTGGATTGGGTTGTTTGTTTTTTTAACATTGAGCTGCATGAGCTATTTATATATTTTGGAGATTAATCCTTTGTCCGTTGATTCATTTGCAAATATTTTCTCCCATTCTGAGGGTTGTCTTTTCGTCTTGTTTATGGTTTCCTTTGCTGTGCAAAAGCTTTTAAGTTTAATTAGGTCCCATTTGTTTATTTTTGTTTTTATTTCCATTACTCTAGGAGGTGGATCAAAAAAGATCTTGCTGTGATTTATGTCAAAGAGTGTTCTTCCTATGTTTTCCTCTAAGAGTTTTATAGTGTCCAATCTTACATTTAGGTCTCTAATCCATTTTGAGTTTATTTTTGTGTATGGTGTTAGGAAGTGTTCTAATTTCATTCTTTTACAGGTAGCTGTCCAGTTTTCCTGGCACCACTTATTGAAGAGACTGTCTTTTCTCCATTGTCTATCCATGCCTCCTTTGTCATAGATTAGTTGACCATAGGTGCATGGGTTTACCTCTGGGCTTTCTATCTTGTTCCATTGATCTGTGTTTCTGTTTTTGTGCCAGTACCATATTGTCTTGATTACTGTAGCTTTGTAGTGTAGTCTGAAGTCAGGGAGTCTGATTCCTCCCGCTCCGTTTTTTTCCCTCAAGACTGCTTTGGCTATTCGGGGTCTTTTGTGTCTCCATACAAATTTTAAGATTTTTGTTTTAGTTCTGTAAAAAATGCCATTGGTAATTTGACAGGGATTGCATTGAATCTGTAGATTGCTTTGGGTAGTATAGTCATTTTCACAGTATTGATTCTTCCAGTCCCAGAACATGGTATATCTCTCCATCTGTTGGTACCATTTTTAATTTCTTTCATCAGTGTCTTATAGTTTTCTGCATACAGGTCTTTTGTCTCCCTAAGTAGGTTTATTCCTAGGTATTTTATTCTCTTTGTTGCAGTGGTAAATGGGAGTGTTTCCTTAATTTCTCTTTCAGATTTTTCATCATTAGTATATAGGTATGCAAGAGATTTCTGTGCATTAATTTTGTATCCTGCAGCTTTACCAAACTCATTGATTAGCTCTAGTAGTTTTCTGGTGGCATCTTTAGGATTCTCTATGTATAGTATCATGTCATCTGCAAACAGTCACAGTTTTACTTCTCCTTTTCCAATTTGTATTCCTTTTATTTCTTTTTCTTCTCTGCTTGCCGTGGCTAGGACTTCCCAAACCATGTTGAAGAGTAGTGGTGAGAGTGGACATCCTTGCCTTGTTCCTGATCTTAGAGGAAATTATTTCAGTTTTTCACCATTGAGAATGATGTTGCTGTGGGTTTGTCATATATGGCCTTTATTGTGTTGAGGTAGGTTCCCTCTATGCCCACTTCCTGGAGAGTTTTTATCATAAATGGGTGTTGAATTTTGTCAAAAGCTTTTTATGCATCGATTGAGATGATCATGTGGTTTTTCTTCTTCATCTTGTTCATATGGTTTATCACATTGATTGATTTGCGTATATTGAAGAATCCTTGCATCCCTGGGATAAATCCCACTTGATCATGGTGTATGATCCTTTTAATGTGTTGTTGGATTCTGTTTGCTAGTATTTTGTTGACGATTTTTGCATCTATATTCATCAGTGATATTGGTCTGTAATTTTCTTTTTTGGTAGTATCTTTGTCTGGTTTTGGTATCAGGGTGATGGTGGCCCCATAGAATGAGTTTGGGAGTGTTCCTTCCTCTGCAATTTTTTGGAAGAGTTTGAGAAGGATGGGTGTTAGCTCTTCTCTAAATGTTTGGTAGAATTCACCTGTGAAGCCATCTGGTCCTGGACTTTTGTTTGGAAGATTTATAATCACAGTTTCAATTTCATTACTTGTGATTGGTCTGTTCATATTTTCTTTTTCTTCCTGGTTCAGTCTTAGAAGCTTATACCTTTCTAAGAATTTGTCCATTTTCTTCCAGGTTGTCTATTTTATTGGCATAGAGTTGCTTGTAGTAGTCTCTTAGGATGCTTTGTATTTCTGTGGTGTCTGTTGTAACTTCTCCTTTTTCATTTCTAATTTTATTTATTTGAGTCCTCTCCCTCTTTTTCCTGATGAGTCTGGCTAATGGTTTATCAATTCTGTTTATCTTCTCAAAGAACCAGCTTTTAGTTTTATTGATCTTTGCTATTGTTTTCTTTGTTTCTATTTCATTTATTTCTGCTCTGATCTTTATGATTTCTTTCCTTCTGCTAACTTTGGGTTTTGACTGTTCTTCTTTCTCTGGTTCCTTTAGGTGTAAGGTTAGATTGTTTATTTGAGATTTTTCTTGTTTCTTGAGGTAGGCTAGTATAGCTGTAAACTTCCCTCTTAGAACTGCTTTTGCTGCATCCCACAGGTTTTGGATGGTCATGTTTTCATTGTCATTTGTGTCTAGGTATTTTTTGATTTCCTCTTTGATTTCTTCAGTGATCTCTTTGTTATTTAGTAACGGAGTGTTTAGCCTCCATATGTTTGTGTATTTTACGTTTTTTTCCCTGTAATTCATTTCTAATCTCATAGCATTGTGGTCTGAAAAGGTGCTTAATATGATTTCAGTTTTCTTAAATTTACTGAGGCTTGATTTGTGACCCAAGATGTGATCTATCCTGGAGAATGTTCTGTGCGCACTTGAGAAGAACATGTAATCTGCTGTTTTTGGATGGAATGTCCTATAAATATCAATTAAATCTATCCGGTCTACTGTGTCATTTAAAGCTTTTGTTTCCTTATTAATTTTCATTTTGAATGATCTGTCCATTGGTGTAAGTAAGGTGTTAAAGTCCCCCACTATTATTGTGTTGCTGTCGATTTCCTCTTTTTCAGCTGTTAGCAGTTGCCTTATGTATTGAGGTGCTCCTTTGTTGGGTGCATATATATTTATAATTGTTATATCTTCTTCTTGGATTGATCCCTTTATCATTATGTAGTGTCCTTTCTTGTCTCTTGTAACATTCTTTATTTTAAAGTCTATTTTATCCGATATGAGTATTGCTATTCCAGCTTTCTTTTTTGTTGTTGTTGTTGTTGTACGCGGGCCTCTCACTGTTGTGGCCTCTCCCGTTGCAGAGCACAGGCTCCGGACACGCAGGCTCAGTGGCCATGACTCACGGGCCTAGCCGCTCCGCGGCATGTGGGATCTTCTCAGACCGGGTCACGAACCCATGTCCCCTGCATCAGCAGGCCGACTCTCAACCACTTCACCACCAGGGAAGCCCTCCAGCTTTCTTTTGATTTCCATTTGCATGGAATATCTTTTTCCATCCCCTCACTTTCAGTCTGTATGTGTCCCTAGGTCTGAAGTGGGTCTCTTGTACACAACATATATACTGGTCTTGTTTTTGTATCCATTCAGCGAGCCTGAGTCTTTTGGTTGGAGCATTTAATCCATTCACGTTTAAGGTAATTATCGATATGTATGTTCCTATGAGCATTTTCTTAATTGTTTTGGGTTTGTTTTTGTAGGTCCTTTTCTTCTCTTGTGTTTCCCACTTAGAGAAGTTTCTTTAGCGTTTGTTGTAGAGCTGGTTTGGTGGTGCTGAATTCTCTTAGCTTTTGCTTGTCTGTAAAGCTTTTGATTTCTCCATCAAATCGCAATGAGATCCTTGCCAGGTAGAGTAATCTTGGTTGTAGGTTCTTCCCTTTCATCACTTTAAGTATATCATGCCACTCCCTTCTGGCTTATAGAATTTCTGCTGAGAAAACATCTGTTAACCTTATGGGAGTTCCCTTGTATGTTATTTGTCGTTTTTCCCTTGCTGCTTTCAAAAATTTTTCTCTGTCTTTAATTTTTGCCAATTTGATTACTATGTGTCTTGGCGTGTTTCTCCTTGGGTTTATCCCGTATGGGACTCGCTGCCCTTCCTGGACTTGGGTGGCTATTTCCTTTCCCATGTTAGGGAAGTTTTCGACTATAATCTCTGCAAATATTTTCTCTGGTCCTTTCTCTCTCTCTTCTCCTTCTGGGACCCCTGTAATGCAAATGTTTTTGCGTTTAATGTTGTCCCAGAGGTCTCTTAGGCTGTCTTCATTTCTTTTCATTCTTTTTTCTTTATTCTGTTCTGCAGCAGTGAATTCCACCATTCTGTCTTCCAGGTCACTTATCTGTTCTTCTGCCTCAGTTATTCTGCTGTTGATTCCTTCTAGTATATTTTTCATTTCAGTTATTGTATTGTTCATCTCTGTTTGTTCTTTAATTCTTCTAGGTGTTTGTTCTTTAATTCTTCTAGGTCTTTGTTAAACATTTCTTGCATCTTCTCGATCTTTGCCTCCGTTCTTTTTCCGAGGTCCTGGATCATCTTCACTATCATTATTCTGAATTCTTTTTCTGGAAGGTTGCCTGTCTCCACTTCATTTAGTTGTTTTTCTGGGGTTTTATCTTGTTCCTTCATCTGATACATAGCCCTCTGCCTTTTCATCTTGTCTGTCTTTCTGTGAATGTGGTTTTTGTTCCACCAGTTGCAGGATTGTAGTTCTTCTTGCTTCTGCTGTCTGCCCTCTTTTATGGTGCTTTATACTCCGAAATTTTTATTGTTTTGAAGAATACCCCCCCAATTAATTTCAGAGTACCCAAGCTATTTATTTTTTTCATAGACATTATGGTACTTCACCGTGGTTCTTTTTTTCTTTTTCTTAATATTTATTTATTTATTTATTATTGATTTATTTTGGCTACACTGGGTCTTAGTTGCAGCATGTGGGATCTTTAGTTGCAGCATGTGGACTCTCAGTTGTGGCATGCATACAGGATTTAGTTCCCCCACCAGGGATTGAACCCAGAACCCCTACATTGGGAGCTTGGAATCTTACCCACTGGAGCAGCAAGCAAGTCCACCCAGGCTATTTAGAAATAAATTAAGTCCCTCTTTCCAGACTCAGGAGGGATGAAGTATCCGTTCTAATTCTGACTATGGCTCTAAGGAGCACATCTCATAATCTCCCTGGACCTCAGTCGGCTCCCTTTAGAAACGGAGGAAAACTGATGTGGGCTGAGAGAACTTTCCAGTGGATGACCCTCCGAAGCGAGAGAGTGGCCTCGGGTGGGGATGGGGTTTTGTTTACGGGAGATGGGGAGGTGGGAGCTACTGGCATTTGGCGAGTCTGGTCTGGAGATTCTCGCATCCCCACAGTCATCATGGGGGCAGCTGACAGCCCCCTCCTGCCCCCGCCCTGGAACAGGGACAGAGGGAAGTGAGCTGCTGCCTCTGCAGCCCCTGCTCTGCGCAGAGCCCTGTGGGAGGATGAGCGCGTCTCAGCTCTCGAGGACCTTTACCCCATCGAGCGGCCGATTCAGATATGAGACAAAGTGAAACTTGCTGAGCTGAAGGGAGCAAGTGGGGTGCTCTGGTTGGCTGGGAGTGAGGGGGGCTCCCAAGTCCCTTCTCTGTCTCTCTACTCTGCTCAGTGGCCTGGGGGAGGTTACATAATCTCTCTAAGCCTCAGTTTGCCTCTCTGCAAAATGGGTTAACAGCTGACCCTTGCCAGAGGTTATTAGGATTAAATGATAGTGTATAGGAAATGCCTGCTGCTGGGGGGAATGCAGCTGCCAGACCTGCTCACAGGCCGCTCCCCGCCCTCCAAACAGAATGGCACCTTGAAGATCATCGACAGGAAAAAGCACATCTTTAAACTGGCACAAGGAGAGTACATAGCTCCGGAGAAGATTGAAAACATCTACCAGCGAAGTGAACCTGTCGCTCAGGTGTTTGTCCACGGAGAGAGCTTGCAGGTACGCACTGCCCCAGCCGTGAATTCTGTGGCCGGCGTGGCCCGGGCCTAGAAGTCCAGGGCCTTTCAGTGTGATGGGAAGTTTGCGATGGGTGTGAGTTGACTTTCATGTCTGATGTGCTGGAATGTTATCAACACGTTACTGGTTTTTACTGCTTGGCGTTTCTTTCTTTTCTCATCTATTTTGTAACTGGAAATTTGTACCTCTTATTCTTGGCAATTCTTATCCAGAAAAGTTTTTTTCTCTTTAATTTCATATTACCAAGGGAAGTTGGATAAGGATACCAAGGGAGTGGGTAAAATAAGCTTCTAATTTAATTATGAGGGGAAATATTGATACACAGGTTATAGGAAAGTTTAGAATTTTCAAACATATTAAAGCCAACTTGTTATGATATGTCTCCTACGTCATTTTTGAGCAAATGGTGGTTGTGAGCCAACATATCTTAAAGTCGAAAACCAACATCAGTATTGCAATGAGACATCATTTGCTAAAATTTTGGACAGATGGTGGGAAGGAAGAGAAGGGTGTCTGGTTTCCTGAGGGTTAATATTTCTACAAATCTTGAAATTTTCAAATAATTTTGGAAGAATATTTTCTTACAAGAAAGTGAACCTATTTTTCTTCGACCTGGAATCATACCCATGCCTCTAATTTTTATTCAGTTTCGTTGTCTCTAAATTGTAAAGAATGAGGGATTAGAGTTTTTTCTAAATGAATCTGCATACATTTTCTCTTTTTATAAAGCAGTTATCTGATATCTATCCCCTTGTTTGCTTATTTGACCCTGTTTTATTTTTTAAAATATATATGAGTAAGTAAAAATTAGGGTTTTATTAGGTTTTGATTTCCAGTGGTTGTTTTAAAACATTTATTGCAAAATCCCCAATGCTGTCTATATTTCAGAGTCAGGAGTTAACCTGGGCCCCACAGACTCTGGGGCTGGTAACATGCTCTGAAAAGAGGATCTGTAACTCCCATCAGATTCTCCCAGGGGCCCAGGCTGCAGATAATAAAGAACCACAATTTTAGAGCATCTGGATCAAGCCCGTTAATAACTTACTTGTCTCCGTTAAAGGCATTTCTCATAGCAATTGTGGTACCAGATATTGAGACGCTAGGTCCCTGGGCCCGGAAGCGAGGCTTTGAAGGCTCCTTTGAAGAGCTGTGCAGAAGCAAGGTAGGTTCTGAAGTGTGCAGCCTACTTCTGACCCGCCCTTTGCATTAAGTGCAAAGTTCAGGGACTCCCGCCACGGGAGTAAGGATCTTACTTTTCTTGCCTTATTAGGGTGTCCAAAAAGCTGTTCTGGAAGACATGGTGAGACTTGGGAAGGATGCTGGCCTAAAACCATTTGAACAGGTAAGACTTGCATCCAAGTGTATGAATTCCTGCAAAACGGGGTTTTGACTGGAGGATGCTTTTTGTGAATATATTATAGAAGAGGATGAGGTGACGTAAAGACATCTGTGCGGAAGGGATAGTGGAGTGGTTTGGTAGGGGAGGGGATTTTTGTAACCAAGGGTGTGAATTCTCTTCCTGGAGGTCAGGCTACAGTCCTGATTCTGTACTGACAACAGGCCACTGCCCTTTGTTGAGACAGTGCAGTGGGACCTGGCCTGAGAGGCTGGCTTGAGTCGCCCAGAAGGGTCTTTATCCCTTGGGAAGCTTAAGTGCTTTTTAGACTCAGGTGGCCTCCGTGCCCCTTTCCTCCTTTGACTGCCTGGTTTCTTTGCAGGTCAAAGGTATTAGTCTCCACCCTGAATTATTCTCTGTCGACAACGGCCTTCTGACCCCAACGATGAAGGCTAAAAGGCCAGAGCTTCGGAAGTATTTCAGGTCACAGATCGATGAACTTTATTCCACCATCAAAATCTAATGCGAGGAAGGAAGTTGGGAAGAGGCCGCATGCCTCCGCGGTCTTCTCCCACCCGTGGCCTCAGTGGGTAGTTTTGACAACAGCAAGTAGGGAAGGAGCGTCTTTATCTGCCTCGTGCGTTCAGATTCTCATCACAGGAAGCTTAGAGGGAATGGAACACTGCCTTATGGTCACGTCGCATTGCAGACCATGTTCACGGTGATACATAATTTCCAAAATGAGCCTTAAAAAAATTGTAAAGGGGAAACTATAAATGTGCTAAGTTATTTACGACTTCCTCAGTTTAAAAAGAGGGTGAAAACTTGTCTCCCTTTTTTGCTAACCAAGTGGTTAGGACTTTGCTATTTCTGAGATGTCTGCTACTTGCTGCAAATTCTGCAGGTGTCTGCTGCTCTGAAGAGTACCGTGCACTGGAGGGAACCGTCCCTTATAAACAAGAACTGTCCCAGCTGCAGGAGGTTGCAAGTGGACCAGAGGTTTTTTTTTAATCCCTGCCACCGTCCCCTCCCCATCTCATGTGACCCTTCTGATTAACCCCTGTCACTCCTGTTGGAGCAGAGGATGGACCTAACTCAGAACAACGCAGGTATGGATGGATGGCCGCTCACCAGAGCGGGTGGATTCTGGCGTCCACAGAGCAGAATATTCGCCGACCCTCTTCTCGAGACCCGATTCCCTCCCTCCATCCCTTCCCAGGGGTTATTAAAAAAATCTGCCTTAGACTCTGCAGTGAAGACAAGCATTTCAACAAGGAAACAATGACCTGGATCAGCCATGTTCAACTGTGACGCCTGAAGAACTGTCCACTTTATCTTCACTGAACCCGTCGCTCTGCCTGTGATGGTTTTTAATGTGGTTTTCATATCAGAAGAGTATGTTGTGATTAAGTGGCTTTTTTTCCCCAGAATAAACTCTCAGGCAAGGCATGTCTTTAAAAATATTAAGGGGGCTTCCCTGGTGGCGCAGTGGTTGAGAGTTCGCCTGCCGATGCAGGGGACGCGGGTTCGTATCCTGGTCCAGGAGGATCCCACATGCCGCGGAGCGGCTGGGCCCGTGAGCCATGGCCCCTGAGCCTGTGCGTCCGGAACCTGTGCTCTGCAACGGGAGAAGCCACAGCAGTGAGAGGCCCGCGTACCGCAAAAAAAAAAAAAAAAAAATTAAGGGAGTAGATACACTTGGGTACTTACTGAAATGGATGGTAATTAATAAATGCTCTTCTATCATAATGCTACCTGATTTCTATGAAATGTATTTGACAAGCCAAAATTCTAAGACATAGGAATCTGGAAAACTCATTTCCTGGGATTAACTTCTCAAGGGATTTTTTTTTTAAGTTAATTTGGGTAATTAACAGCATTTCACTTTACTGCAAGTCTTTGCCACATGTGACTGAATTTAGTTGTCATTTATATGTTGAAAGCAGTTGTTTGTGGATATGTGACTACCTGTATTATACAAGCACAACAGGGTTTGCCCTAAAGAGTTGTCGTTGTAATAACGCTATTTGGTAGCCTAGCTTCATATGTGCATTCTTAATTGCACAAGAAGTCAATAATTTGTCACAATGGGGTTTTGAATGTTTGCTTTAAGTGTTGGCTATTTCTATGTTTTATAAACCAAAACAGAATTTCCAAAAACAATGAAGGAAACCAAAATAAATATTTCTGCATTTCAAGTGAGTGAAGCCTCCCTTTTTGCATCAGGTGTCGTGTTCGGCGTGGCCTCTGATGTGCACAAGCGAAGAGCAAGAATGACCTCAGCCTCCCAGTTCTTTCCTCCCTCCCAGGTCTGCTTCCTAGGACGCAGTCATCCTGACACTTCCAGTTGCTGACGCCGGGGCCCTGGCCAGCTCCCAGCAACGGCCCTGCTGTGTTGCAGAGAAGAAAGTCTTGGTGTGAATAACATGGATATTCTTGAAAGTGCAAATTCTCAGGGGGAAAGCGACAGTGCAGGAGGCATCGCTGCAGTTGGTGGTCCTGGGGTGGATTTCATTCGGCCTCGCTGGAGTCATTCTCTCCCTGTGGAACTGTCGGAGAAGGTGCCCCATTGACAGCAGCCAACTGTTTCTTTTCTTCTATCACTACCCTATGCTGTCATTTTAAAGATTTTCTTTTCCAGAGGTCTTGGTTAATCACCCCCTAAGTTTTTCTGTAGCCTGTTTTCAGTCCTCTTTCCCTGCAGTCTTGGGTTTGGGGTGCTGATGTCTGCCTTCTTCCTCTAAAGCTCAAGCCCTGTGCACCCCTCTCTGGTAAGATTCCTCATACACGGGACTTCCCTGGCGGTCCACCTTCCAGTGCAGGGGGTTTGGGTTCAAGCCCCGGTCGGGGAGCTGAGATCCTACATGCCTCAGGGCCAAAAAACCAAAACATAAAACAGAAGCAGGGCTTCTCTGGTGGTGCAGTGGTTAAGAATCTGCCTGCCAACGCAGGGGACAGGGGTTCGAGCCCTGGTCCGGGAAGATCCCACATGCCGCGGAGCAACTAAGCCTGTGTGCCACAACTACTGAGCCTGTGCTCTAGAGCCCCTGAGCCATAACTACTGAAGCCCGCTTGCCACAACTACTGAGCCTGCACTCTAGAGCCCGTGCTCCACAACAAGAGAAGCCACCTCAGTGAGAAGCCCGCACACCGCAACAAAGAGTAGCCCCCACTCGCCACAACTAGAGAAAGCCTGCGTGCAGCAACGAAGACCCAACACAGCCAAAAATAAATAAATTTTTTAAAAAACGGAAGCAATATTGTAACAAATTCAATAAAGACTTCAAAAAAAAATGGTCCACATCAAAAAAACTTAAAAAAAAAAAAAAACCTCCTCATCCAGTCTGCCTCTTTAGTTAGGTTATCAAGTTCCTCGTGTCTTTTTCTGCCCTGCGCCCTCTTGCTCTCATTCCCTCACGGGAACTGTGACCTTTCTGTCTCCTCCCTGGGCTCCCAGCACAGGACTTAGCAACTGGTGGGTGTTTGTTAAATTACTCTCATTTGAACAAATATTTGAAATTTTGAACCAAGCTTCTGTAATGAGGTTGATAGAAACACTGTATTGTTTTCTTTTTAAAAACAATTCTGGTAAAATACACATAAGATTTATCATCTTCATCATTATTAAGCATACAGTTCAGCGGCATTAAGTGCATTCACACTGTTGTGCAACCGTCACCGCCATCCATCTCCAGAACTTTTCATGTTGCAAAACTGAAACTCTGCCCATTAAGTAATAACTCCCATTCCCTCCTCGCCCCAGCCCCTGGCCACCGCCATTCTGCTGTCTCTGAATTTGACTACTTTAGGTGCCGCATATGTGTGAATCATACAGTGTTTGTCCTTCTGTGTCTGGCTTATTTCACTTAGCATAATGCCCTCGAGGTCCATTCGAGTTGTCTCTCTCTTTTTATAGCTGAATAATATTTGTACAATTACACCACTTTGGGCTTCCCTGGTGGCGCAGTGGTTGAGAGTCTGCCTGCCGATGCAGGGGACACGGGTTCGTGCCCTGGTCCGGGAAGATCCCACATGTCGCGGAGCGGCTGGGCCCGTATGTCCGGAGCCTGTGCTCTTCAACGGGAGAGGCCACAACAGTGAGAGGCCCGCGTACCGAAAAAAAAAAAAAAAAAATTACACCACATTTTGTTTATTTGTTTTGTTTTTTGGGTTTTTTTTAATAAATTTGTTTATCTTTTTATTTTTGGCTGCGTTGGGTCTTTGTTGTTGCGCGTGGTCTTTCTCTAGTTGCGGCGAGCGGGTGCTACTCTTTGTTGCGGTGCGCGGGCTTCTCATTGCGGTGGCTTCTCTTGTTGCAGTGCACGGGCTCTAGGCATGTGGGCTTCAGTAGTTGTGGTTCGCGGGCTCTAGAGCGCAGGCTCAGTAGTTGTGGCGCACGGGCTTAGTTGCTCCACGGCATGTGGGATCTTCCCGGACCAGGGCTTGAACCTGTGTCCCCTGCATTGGCAGGTGGATTCTTAACCACTGCGTCACCAAGGAAGACCCTGTTTTGTTTTTTTTAGATTTTTTTTTTTTGATGTGGACCATTTTTAAAGTCTTTATTGAATTTGTTACAATAGTGCTTCTGTTTTTATGTTTGGTTTTGGCCACAAGGCATGTGGGATCTTAGCTCCCCAACCAGAGATCGAACCTGCACCCCCTGCATTGGAAGGTGAAGTCATTTTTTTTTAATTAATTAATTATTTTTGGCTGCATTGGATCTTCGTTGCCCCACATCCTCACTTTACTTTCTGTTTTCTTTTTTTTTTTGACAACGCCCATCCTAATGGGTGTGAAGTGGTATCCCATTGTGGTTTAGATTTGCATTTCCCTAATGCTGATGAGATCGAGCATCCTTGCGTGTGCTTATTGGTCACTTGTGTATCTTCCTTGGAGATGTGTCCTTTGCCCATTTTAAAAATTGGTTTTTGCTATCGAGCAGTAGTAGTTCTTTATATATTCTGGATATTAACCCCTAAACACTGTTTCCAATTCTTAACTTTCATGGTGCACTGTATACAGTGGCACTCCATCCCCCAAATCAGAACCACACCTCAAGCCCAGGGGTTTCTGTCTCAATCCGGCAGCAGTGACCCTGCTGCCCTGAGAGTTCACCTTGCCCTCCCCGCAGGTCCAGCTCTGACACACCCTCACTCTATGTCTAGACTCAGAAAAACAGTTTGTTTTTAAGTATATTTGGCATTTGGTAGTTAAAGTATTTTTGCCTCACTTCTGCTTTTTAGATTACTTGGAGTAAGAAGAAAACGAAGAAGAACTAAAATGTGTTGAGTGTTGCCACGTACCAGGCACTCTTCTGAGCATCTTACACAGGTGACCTTTTCATGTTTGCAACCCTCTGAGCCAAATGCCCCTGGTGTCCCCATCATACAGTGAGGAAATTGAAGCACACGACGTGGGTCAGGGTCATACACTGAACAGAGTTGGAGCTGGGCAGTCTGCCTCAGGACACTGAGCTTTCAGCTTCACACCATGGAGGTTTCTTGTCTGCCTGTGCCCGTAACCTCCTGACAAAACGTGTCATTGGATTGTTTCTTGGTGCCAGCAGTTATGCCTCTAAGCTTTGGTCCAAACGGTTTTGATTCCTACCTAATGATGGTTCTTTGTCATAGCAGAGGCTAGTACCACTTCCCAGTTTTATACTGGTTCATGGGTCATCAAAAATTAAATATGGTTGCTCTCTGTGATGTTGGAAACCCCAAATCCATCAAGGACCAAAAGTTAGGTAGAACCTGCCGCTCTATTTCAGGAGGAAAGTAAGTGTAGAGCTGGGTCACAGACCTGTGGCGTGTTCATGAGGTTCCTTGGACAGCCTAGGAATCACCAGCTACGGAGGTAGTAACAGCTCTAAAGGGCTGTGGGCTCACTGTGGGTGGTGAGCTATGCTGCGCTCTTAAATTCTCAGAGGGGTTACATGGTGTGATGGTTAGCATTCTGGACTCTGACTTACGTTCTCATTTAATGCTCACAAAACCCCTGTGAGGCGGGTGATCCACCCAGAGTTCTGTGTCTAACATGAGCTAAGTGCCAGACACAGTTCTGTGCTATGGGGACGCAGCAATGAGCACAGCAGACAAGATCCTTGCCCTGGGGCAGCTGACTCTAGCCGAGAGAGATGGACAGTAAACAGGAAAGCAAATGAACAACTTCAGATTGCAATGGGTGCCTTGAAAACAACGCGTAGAGTCTTGGCGAGGGGCCACAAGGG